TAGAGTTTTTTTTTTTTTTTAATACTGTAATTTGTGTCCCGTGCTAAAACAATAGTCATCTTGTTGAAGTTGAGGATACTTTTTCCTCAATGTATACATTTCTCAGGTTTTCAGTGTTGAGATTACTTCCTGTTGGTTGCTGGAAAATTATAGGCTGCAGCCAACTGGTTCTTCAAAAATATTCCTCTAGTATTTTTTTAAAACTTTTTAAAATTAATTTTATTTTTTGTTTTTCCTCTCCAAACTTGAAACTTTCATAGAACCAGTTCTATAATTGGGTAGAACTTCCATCTCCTACCTACTGTAAAAGTGCTGAGAATTTTTCATTTAATTTTGACTAAGTGTCTGTTATTTCAGCGTCCATTTACAAATTCATTCATGGATTTTATTTAAAGGATTAGTCCGCATGAAAGCCAATAGACGAACGCTGCATTTTTAAACTTGAAGGCTTGGGGGTTTAACGTTCTCAATATTTGTTGGGGTTTTTTACTTTTGCTTTCTTTGAAATAAAGCCATCAGAAATGGTGAGGACCCCTCATAATAGCCGTAGCAGGTGTACAGACCTGGGAACGCAGTGCAAGTATTGTAGGAACCCCTCATAATGAGCACAGTGGGTGTGCAGACCTGGCAAATCAGCAGAGGGTTGGTGGGGACCCCTCATAATTGCCCACTGTGGGTGTGCAGACCTGGGAAATCAGCAGAGGGTTGGTGGGGATCCCTTATAATGGCCACTGTGGGTGTGCAGACCTGGGAAATCAGCAGAGGGTTGGTGGGGATCCCTTATAATGGCCACTGTGGGTGTGCAGACCTGGGAAATCAGCAGAGGGTTGGTGGGGATCCCTTATAATGGCCACTGTGGATGTGCGGACCTAGGAATTCAGCACAGGGTTGGTGGCATCCCCTCGTTATGGGCCCAGAAAGTGTACAGACCCGGGAACTCAGCACAGGGTTGGTGGGGACCCCTCATAATGGCCACTGTGGGTGTGCAGACCCGGGAAATCGGCACGGGCATAGTGGAAGCCCCTCATAATGGGCACAGCAGATGTGCAAACCCGGCAACTTGGTGCAGATATCTCACGAGTCCAAGACTTTTCCACAACTGAATCCTCAGCTTTGGTTGGACTAACCCTTTAACTCTATGACCTCCCAAGGCACCGATCTAGCTGGGGTTAGCCCCAGATATTTTTTGTTTTGTTTCAGAACCATTGCTGAGTAAATGAATTTTTTTTTCCTATCTGTACATACTTATTTATATGTAATTTAAGGGGACATTGTACATAATGGTGAAACTTTATACAACTGAGGTTATGGAAAAATTGATAAAAAGTTTCTTAATTTGTTTTTTTTGTTTTTTTAAAGTGTCTGCAAACGGATCTAATTTTTAGGGTATTTAACAGATTGTGGCACTAAAGATGAATTAAGGTTTTTAACCTTTTTGTCAAAGCAATATGTGTGAATGTATGCATTTCAATATGCATCACAAATGACCTAAAACTGCCCACAAAAATAATGTAAACTTCACATCTTTGCATCCATGGCTCCATTTGCTGTAAGGATTTATCGTGATTCACCCTCGGCACAGGGATAGTGGGAACCGCTCATTATGGGCACAGCAAGTATGTAGAACTCCATGCTGGGATAATGCAAGCTCCTTATAATGGGCACAGGAGATGTACAGACCTGGAAACTCCATGTAGAGCTCTCAGCAACAGGGTCAGGATCAATAGACTATCAGGGGGGTTAACACTTTTTCTCGCGTCCATCGAATAGTAAAATATTGGGTTTGGATGGAGTGAACAAGCTGTGGTGTGTCCAAGACTGTAGAGCCATTCAGCCAAGGCTGGCATCATGTCAGATGGGTTTCTTTTCTCCGCCATTTCTCAAATTTTCAATATCAGTTTTGGGTTGACTGACTCTTTAGTAGAAACTAGAAAGCAATGTTGATGTTGTAGCACAAGGTATACAGAGAGGAACATTGAAAACTGGTGAATGGCTTAGAAGGATGTGCTGAAAGATGTCAAATTTTACATTTTACACACGTTTCATTTGTGGAGAGCGGGAGCAGTGAGCCACCAAAGTCCCATGAATAGTGATCTACTCTACACAAAAATGAACCTATTTCCCCTGCAGCGATTCGCTGGACAGAGCATGCTCAAGTCTTTTTGGCTCTGAAACTTGTTTTCGTATGCAAGGCAGGCATGTGGTTTGAAATGCCCAGCCTGAGACACATGGGTTAGTTTTACGTGATCCTGGATCAAAGAAGTTGGTTGGTTGGGTGCCACTGGGTGTGTGGATGGAGAACTTCTCCCTTGGGGACAGGAAGTCCACATTTTCCAGCATAACTCTTTAGGAAACTTAGATTTATCAAGTGAGATTGCAAAAGGAGATGATAGACAAGTGGGTCGTAGAAGGGCGCTAGTCAACATATCCCCTTAATCATTGGCTAACAAAGTGAGACACAAAGTTGAATGCATTTTGTGACCTGGACCTGCTTTCCACAATGAAGTAGACTTGTATAAAAACTAGTAGATATTCTCTACTGCGGAGTTATGTGCCGTCCTCCAACCCTCGTGTATGGAACAATCTTCCGGCTAGGTGGCCCCTCAACTCTCTTGCACCCACTATTTGTTCTTTTCCAAAACCCCCTCACTTCCTTTTTTCCTTACCCAAATTCATCATCACATAACCTTCTCTGTTGTGTGTCACTCGCCTTTTCCGGGAGTAGAGACTGGTAATCCAGAGCTTCTGTCTGTGCCCACATCACTTGGTCTTCTCATGGTGACCTCATCATGCTGCTGCAGTTCTGAAGTGGGAGAAGACCCAGTCACTAGACAGCCAATGGGAAGGGTCCACACCCCTTTAGAATTGATGTAGACACCCATGCTCTAGCACAGGGGTCTCAAACCTCTGGCCCTCCAGCTGTGGTGGAACTACAAATCCCATGAGGCATTGCAAGATTCACACAGACATGACTCCCGAAGAGCGATGCATCGTGGGATTTGCAGTTCCACCACAGCTGGGGGGCCGGAGGTTTGAGACCCCTGCTCTAGCAGATAGAAGTCTCATGGCCTGGTTCTCCAGTGATTAGCTAGAAGGGAGAAGAGGACTATGGTTTAGAGGGCCAAGGGATCCTTGGCTAGAATGGGGATTTAAAATAAGTGAGTAGCCTACAGCAGCCAATCATAATTAATCTCCCATCCAGTCTGGTGGTGATGCATCGAAAAATAATTGGTTGCTGTGAGTCTTCGGTTCTATCCAGCTGTGGGGCAAGGTCTAGCACCTAAGGCAAAAAGGCCAAAGTGCACCCCCTCCATGAGCTATGAACTACTTCAGCACCATAGGTTGTGGTTCCTTTCCTCAGTGCATGCCCTCCCGCTGAAGCCCTCAAGGCAGCAGCCTCCTTTCTACCCCTTGCCCCAGGTCTTGAGGGCCTAATGCATTGAGAGGCCTTGGGTATTAGGCTATAGGTTTCCAAAACAAAGTCCCATCCACTGAGAACCACAATATTTTCCATCTAGAAGATCTATCTGCAATTGTGTAGTTTTTCCCCTTTTTTGGAATACAGTACAAACCTTGGTGGGGGGGGGATGGGGAAGATGTAGAATTATCACTCAAGTGTATTAAAATGTTGATCTATCAAGTCTCGCTGTTGTGGGCAAAAGCGTCCACTGAAATCTGGAGAGAAGATGAGGAGACAGGATACCATATGTTCATATTTTAAACTTGTGGATTTGCAGTCACACATGGCTGGGGAAGTTTGTATATTTCTGTACAGAATCTTACACGGCTGCGAGCGTTTGATCAGGGTCCCATCAAGGCTCCATGATTGCCCTCCTAATTTGTACTGTGTCAGCTGTAAAACGCACTGAGCAGATGATGGGGGCGGCTAGGAGAGGATGCCGCTGGATGCGTGGAAGGATAAGGAAGGAAGAGGGGGGGGGGGGCTACGTTACCATGGCACATCTTGAACTGGTGTGCGTGGTGGGAAAATGCAAATGCGGAATGGCCAACCTTTCAATTACAAAGGATGTGGTTAGGGCTGATTGTGCCAAATGGAATACCGGTACACCCCAAAGTGTAAACAAGAGAGAATTGCCCCTTTGTGTTAGTGTTGAGGCCCCAGATGTAGCGAGAATGGCGGCTTTGGTTAGGCTGGGGCCATCAACAGATAATGGATTTCTATATCTTAATATAGAATTGTATACCTTATGTCTTGTGTATACAGTATAATATGATCCTCCAAACTCTCTGCCCCTAATGCTGACAGTTTTAGGACCTATCCTCCCGAAGTGTTAGTCTCGGTGCCGATACTTACCTCCTGTCATGGATTGGGACTCACAGGTATAAACTGGAGTCAGGTATGTGGACCCTTTCCACTACACTGGCTTAGAGAAAAGGGTCCAGCCAGCGTAGGCTGACAACTCCCAGAGCTGGAGTAAGAGCAGGGGAACACAGCAGGGGAACTGAATGAGGTAGTGGAAGTCAGCATAAGCTGGAAGTTCAAATACAAGGCAGGGTGCTGCAATGCTGAGTAGGTGGCATGGGGTCCC